CATTTTTTTTTTAAACGTTGACTGTTTTGGAAGAAAATATATAACGATCGTATGACTAAAGTGGATAGTTAAATTATTAATAAATCTTTAACTTTTAGGTTTACGCCAAGGCAATAGTTGTAGAAGTTCTACAACGTGGAAGAACTTTGTTGTGACTTGCAGTAGCGGATCCAGGATTTAATTTTGGGGGTCTTTTTTTTTTTTAACAAATAAAAAAATAAGGCCAATGAAAAAATATTATTATTCATTCGATCAGTATCACCAAACCAACTTGTCCTGCAATTAGATCTGCGGTCAACAATGCCTCCAACTCTACTGCTGTTATCAATGTATAGCATTGCCAAGTCAATTAAAATAATTTCATAGTTTATATTTATTAATTTTTTATCATTACCAGTAATGAGGGACGGTCAATTATTTCGGAACTTACAAGGCAATGGGTTACCGATTACAAACATATACTCGTGTGTATATGTATATATATATATATATATATATATATTTTTTTTTTTTTTTTTTTTTATTGGCGCTACAAATCATGTAGATCTTTTACTGCGAGTGTGGTCTCTTGGACTACATCCCGATTCCCGATTCAAAGTACGGAGTAAGGTCATCAATCCTACGCCCGGTCGGTGTGAGTTGCCTCCAGTAGACTGACGGGCATCACATACCCGTAGGGAGGAGGAATCTCGGGCAGCGTGGCTTTCCTTGGTGGGCGGTCACTCATCCAAGCTCGGCGATGCATAACTTTGATTACCTATTGCAAGCGCCTTAGCCCGCAAGGCTACCCTAGCCCCCATATATATATATTATATATATTATGTTATTACATAGAACAATATTGCATAGGTCTTCCGGCGTTCGTTCTAAAGTGTCCTTGTAGCGAAGAAAAAAAAATATATAATTTCAAATTTGTATAGTAATAAAAAGTTGCATATTTTAGTACTTGATTTTCTTAAAGGATTCATTTTCCTAGTCGATAACTAAAGCATTGAAAACTTCTTAAGGTGCGATTCGACATTTCACATACTATGGGAAAACAAATATCTAAATGGTTGTTTCTCTAAGCTAGTGTTTTTATTTCTTGTTTTTGATGTATTCGGTCTGATGTCGGTAACAAGAGAAATTTAAAAAAAGTTTGGCTTAGCGCCAATGTCGCTGTCAGTTAATTTGGATAATTGTGTTTTCATAGTTTATGAAATGTCTAAACGCACCTTTTCTCCAAATATCTGAAGCTTTACTGGTGATCTCTTGTACCATTCATGCGAACTACGTACTCCCGATATAAATATAAAACGTAACTTGCTGCTAACTTTATAAAATAGAGAGTTACTAAATCGAACTTTTTATCAAAACAATTAGGTTGGTGCTCCAAAATCGTCTACATTAAAACAAGGATCAACACAATAAAATTCAAATTTACTATTTAATTTTTCTAATTTCGTAGTTGTCATTCTCTCTGTCTATTGTCCTATTTATCCTCTCATTTGAAATTTAAATAATAATCAATTTGGAAGCTATGAAACATACATTATCTTATGAAAACTGGATTAGAGTCAGAACCTAATTTAAAAAACTGCACCAAAACGGAACCACATAGTAAGCATGACTAGCACTAAAAATCGCTAGTAAGGCGACAGCCAGGTCCATCTCCAGACACTCCAGACAGTGTTGTTAAGATTATTACGCCACAACACCGTCGTCAACCGTCACTGCCTCAACTATAGATGACTGAAGAGCGTCCTGAGAACCAGCTATCAAAACTATACCATAACACACTAGCGGATCCAGGATTGAATTTTGGGCGAGAAGGCTTCAGTCCGAAAGATTTTTTTTTTTATAAATAATGATTACTACTTTGGTAGAAAAATAAAGAAACTATCTAATTACCTCTATGAAATGGTGTTTAATTGATTCCTGAAGTTCTATTAAATGTAATTACACGAACAATAATAATTTTACAGATATGTTTTTAATATTTATTTCATAAGAAATGGTTATGTTTTAATATTTTTTTGGGGGGGGGCGGCATTTCAGCCCGAAAGCCCTGCTCCCTCCGTAGACCCGCTGTGCCTTAACGTAAACCATGGCCTGAACCAATATTAGAGTTAAATTTCAATACCCACTACAGTTCTTGAGGTTGTCCTTTTACACATCTTCCATTTCTTTTCCATAAATAGATTAACAGTCTGAAATGAAATAAAGAATACCTTCAACATATGGATTTATTCAACTCATAGAATACAACAATAATAATGAATTATGATGTTTTAAAAACATATGTTAATTTAAATTTACATAAATTCATAATATTCACCCCACCTTATTCATTTATGAGGTAACATAGTCTTTTAGATATGAGGGAGGACTTTTAGTTCTTGAGCTAGCTCGTGGTAATGGCCTATCCTGTTCACGAGCGGATAAAGCTCTAGAAAAAAATTCTACAGAACTGCCGTCTTGGGTAAGAGTGGCAGTTTCCACAGTGAATGGGGTATCATCCTCAATAGGAGTCAATGAAGCATTTTCAATTTCCCGTTCGAGTTGCTGAATGCACGTAATCCGTCTTATGACAAGGGAAACGTACAGCGTGTTAGAGACAGTATTTTCTTAGAAAATTCTTTTATGTAGGTCGATTAATGGGCGAACATGCCAACGGCTCTCCTCAACGATGACATGTCCTTTGGAGGTTGTAGATCTCGGAGAGGTTTAGCCTATCGGGGTCAGGTTGAATTGTCTTGTTACTTATTAAATACCCAAGAAGCTTGATAGATCTTAAAGAAAAGGCTCTCTTTTCATTGTTCAGCGTTAGATTGTGCTTTTGAGCAGTATCCACAATTTTTTTTCAGATTTTCGTCGTCTTCACTTTGATCTCTTCCACAGACAGTGACATCGTCAATGTATGCAAAGGTATCCTTCAAGCCCTCTTTGCGAATTATTTGATCCATCACTCTTTGGCATGCAGCAGCACCATTGATTACTCCAAATGGAATCCTTTGGAACTGGAAAAGCCGCTTCAAAAGCCCTGTAGGGCTTATCTTCGTCTTTTATAGGAATTTGATGATAAGCGTTACGTAGGTCGATGGTACATAAATACTTCATAATGGGCGATCTTATTTGCTAAGGACTCTATTCGTGGAAATGGATATGCGTCCAGGAGAGTATCACGGTTTATGGTGCGAGAGTAATCAATCACCATGCGTCTTTTATGATTGTTACTTGTACGAGTATTTGAGCTTTCGAAGAAGATATCATCATCTCGGTCAGAAGATATCGGTGTCGGTTAGGAGGCGTTCGATCACAACTTCTATAGATTGTAAATCAGTTTTAGTTTATTGATGTGATTTTATCACTGTTGGTTTACAATCCGGTGAAAGATATTCAAAGAGTGACGCGGGTGGAACATTTGCTACATCGAGACCACATACAGTGAGCGTTGCTTTGGGGCCGCCAAAGGATAGGTTAACACTTCAGTGCTGCTTGAGTATATCATGACCAATGACAACATCAGCGCACAGGTTAGGAAGGACAGACAATCTAACATTTTTATAATAGTGACCTAACATGTTAATGTCAACTACACATTGGCCTCAAGTTCTAGAACAGAGAGAATTAGATGCCATTGAAATTTTCTCATTGAATGGCTTAATCTTCAAGTTTAACGTAGAGGCGGATTTTTCGCTAATGACTTACAGAGCTTCCAGTGTCAATCAACACACAAACCTCTGAACCATTAGTACAGCTTTGACTGTTGCCTTCGTCAAGCTATGTGCAACTAAACCAGAAGGATTTCCTGCAACAATAGCAGCAGAAGTTCGTTTCTCAGATGCTGTAGACCTACAAACTTTAGAATAATGACCCCTTTTCGAACAACGATTACAAAGAGCATCCCTAGCAGGGCATTTGCTGCGAGTGTGTTTATTAAAACCACAAAAGTAACATTTGATTGAAGTTGCAGCTAAGGTTATATTCTGTTGCCTAATATAATGAGGTGTAGTACTCTCATTTTGTTCCCTAATATACTCAAATATAGTACCCCCAGCCTCCCCATCATTACTAGATTTGCAATCAGGTTCTGCATTGACGGAACCTTTGGGAATCTGATTAGACCTGGATTGACCTTGAGCTAACTCTAGGGCTCGAGCTTGTTCGTGAGCTTCCTATAATATTAGCATGGTACTCTCAAGCAGCCGCTGGCGGATGAAATTTGATTATAGGCCACTTATAAACGAGTCTCTCATAAGGTCATCGCGATACGTTTCAGCTCTAACTGCAATAAATTTCATTCATTCCTTAAAAGCCTAAGGGCCTCTATGTATTGATCAACGAATTCGTTATGTTGCTGTGAGCGAGTATTCAACTTATATAGGGCAAATATTTCGTTGTTTGGTTTTACATAGTCCCTTGAAAATTGTTACTGCTTCAACATACTTATTTGCATGACTTACGTGTTGGTAGGCGTCAGGAGATATGTAGTTAAATAAAAGCTTCAATTTGTGTCCTTCTGCAGCATTGGCGGCGGCAATAAAGTTTTCAAAATTCTTGAACCAATGCTCCCAATGTTTCCCTGCGAAAGTTGAGAACATCGAAACGTTCTGGCCTGAGTAGTCTTTCCATTTCGTTCAGTGACCGATTATGAGTTGAATAAATTGAAATGAAATAAAGAATACCTTCAACGTAAGGTTTTATTCAACTCATAGAATACAACAATATTAATGAATTATGATGTTTTAAAAACATATGTTAATTTAAATTTACATAAATTCATAACACAGTCATGGGACTAAACCCATTTCCCTTCTTTACTCCTTTATATTGGTGGAAAAGTTACGATTTCTGACTATTGGGTACTACAATAACTTTTGAATCTTAGTATACGGATGGTGTGGTAATCACTTGTACCGTTCCAAATGAGCTAAAATGTTTCAAATACAATTCAAGTTAAATTGGAATGGTAACAAAGACGTGTTAGCTCTATGGTATATTATCTCAAATCGATTGAACTGATATTTGCTTATGTTTATCTGGGCGGTTGTGGTTCCACTAGAGCCGGTATTTGTGTGTCCAAGATGTTTTCGCCGAAGGACTTTTTAAAGTTTTTTTATTTTATAATTTCGTAAAAAAATTACTTCCATAACATATCTACTACATATATTCAATAAAAATGTAGTTATTTTGATGTTGTATTTTTAACATATGACATCCATAACGACTTTAAAAACAATCATTTTTAAATTGCAATGTTAAATAAGTCTAGAAGATTGTTATTAGGTGTGTTTATATTGCTAACTGTGGATGTAATTTGGGTTTTCTCTTCTGAGTTGACCAAGGTGGGTATTAATTTTGATGAGTTTTAGTATCTCTTGACACCTTAATATTTATCTAATTCTCATTTATTGATTGTGACAAGGCTATTATCAGTTTCATTGCTTTGCTAAGAACAGACCACAATACATTTACAAGATGTCCACAAATTAATTATCAGATTATCCAAGAATGTTTAAAAATGTATCTAATAAATTTGCTTGTATTTATCATTATTCTCTTTATCTAAATATCAACTATGACATTCCTCTATTTTACTGATAGTGTGGTCTTAAAAATAACATTGTATGAATTTCTAAAGTGTATTTTTCAATATTGATTTTTGTTTTAATGGGTTTCTAAAAATATCCCACATAATAAGATTCATAAAGTATTTTCATCTTGTTGCTTTATCGTTTGCTTTATATAGTTGTTTTATTTTGATAACGTTTCTCCCTTATCTTATCATTAATGCATATTTATTAATCCAAATTTGTTCCATACTGCCTGGTACCTGTAGAAGAACTGACTTACACCGTGCTAATATAACATTTTATATGTTATTAACTTTATCTTGAAATGTTTTGAAATTTATTATATAATTATTTATTCATAATGGTATAGAAATAGTTGACCATACTTCTAATTTAAGAAGTTGATCAGGAGTGCGGTATACGGTAGTACAGTATACGCATACTGTATATTGCAGTAGTATTTATTCATTTCTACCCATGTTGTAGGTCTTCATCAGGGTATTTTATCCAGCATTGCAGGATGGAGAGAGGGAACTGTTCCCTAGTTCTGTCCAGCAATACTAAATGAATTGTCTTGATGAAGACCTACAAAATAAGACGAAATTCAGGCAAATGTATTAAAGAACATTACAATGTATACTATGTGTCTATTGACCACATCCTCTACCAAATTGTCCTTTCTGTTTATTGTTTTGGATTAATTTTTTGATTTTTCAGTGAAGTTTGGGCACGTAAAAGATTTTATTTTTAAGAAATACAATCTGTAACTAGAAATTATAATTATAACCGTGCTCCGATAAATTGTCTAAAATTATGAATATATTATCAGCTGGCAAAATGTCATTGCTGATTACCGAATTTTGTTGAGCCACCATTGCCTTTTCCAAATTTCTTCTTTTAACATTTTGATTATTCTGATGTATTAACGGTACTTGTTAAATAGCGGTCGGGTCCGACTGCTATCTGGGAATGTTTATAACCTTAACACTGATAATTCTTATAAGGCATTGACAATATCTTCGTATTCATATTTATTGTATTATATTCATATTATCGAAATTGTAAACAAAAACAAATGTAATAATTTAAAAATACTTTTATTTTACAAGATATATATTAAATAGACAAAAACATTATACATGTATAATGTAAAAACATATATATAAAAATAAATGAAATAATAAAACTTGAAAAAAATAAATAAAATAATAAAAAACCACTTAAACAACTTATTTACATATAAAAGAAACACTACGAAGACTTTAAAGAACATATGTACATATAAAAGAAACACTATAAACAAAATATGTACATAAAAAACAATTTTATTTTAACTTAATTTATTTTGGTAGGGAAAATAGTTTTATACTATTTAAAATGGCGAGGAAATAGTTAAATTACGGAAAATAGTAAATTATAGGAAATAGTTAAATTATGGGACCACCCATAAATGAATTTTAAAGCCGTTAAAAAATAAATCCTCGACCCCTCTAACCACGTTCCTTTCTTTATAGAAACATTTATGTTACAAGTGCGAAAGCATCTCCATTTCATCTTCCCATCCAACTTCATTTCACACACCTTTGCAATTATCCTGGCGTCTTTGAAATATTTGATAGCCTCTTCTTCTAAAGACGGCAATTCGAACAATGCAATAACATCCATAATTTTACGAAAATAACACTAACTCACAGCTTACACGAGGAACAAAAAATAAACAATGGAATAACTTCCGTTAGACGAGATAAGAAGGGAGGTTTCTACCCGACCAGCTATTTAACAAGTACCATATTAACTTTCTAGGTGTCTACAATAACCTTTTTATGGAATCTCCTGACTTTTCCATGTTTTCAATGTTATTTTTGTAAAATGTCCATTTATCAACTTTAAAAAGATACTAGCTGACCCGTGCGAATACTTCACACAAACCTTATATTTGTTTCAGATTTCAATACATTAAGGGCTCAGCATAAGTTCTTTTTAGTAATGTTTCTATGCAAAGGTTTAATAATTTTGTTTAGAAAGTTATCAGTTTATAAATATTATGATCGATACCCATCCATAGTTTAACCCTTGCTAGTTTCATTAAATTAATAATTATAATATTATATTTAACAAAAACTACTTATAGGTTTTTATTTTTTATCTCGATTTGCAGTTTGTTTGCGAAGGTCCTGTTTATGTAGTTTATGTGGCCCTAAATTTCTTGTAGATAGCTAAAGACGTATTGAAGTTATAACATTTTGTTGTGATTTTCAGAAAAAATTCAAAGGGGTCCCCCTTCTCTCAGTTTTTGTGGAAAAAAAAATTTTTGTTTGCTATGAAAATCCGTATTTGGTGGTTTTCTGAGATGTGAAATACATATCTCAACTTGGTTTCTCCTTAAAAAAATATTTGAATCCACTTTGCTCATTGAGTCAGTACGAATTGTTCCATTTCAACATTTTATTCATACTATAAAAATATGCTAAATATAAATTTGATGAAATAGAATTCTTCTGAGTTATATAAATCGAATATAAGTGTAAAAAAAAAAGAAAAAGAAAGAAAAAAAAAACAGAAAATATTTTATCAGACACAACTGTTATCGATTTCGATGATTTTTTTAACGTCTTGTAGAGAATTTACTAAGCTTTCAAATACTCATATCCATAATAGGCCAAAAATTGCGTCCTTTCCGAATTATTAATTAATTTGTAACGTATCGATTCGTTGAGATGGCACCATCATATGGTTTGAAACCTCCCACTTTTACATTCACTTTTATTTAAGTCCAGGTATAAAATTAGGAATCAAAATTACGATTTGCGCACTCCATGTGATATTCCCTTTCTGATTGATGAAAGAATGATACCTCATTCTTCAAAATCTGTCACTCCTGAGAGCCAGAAAAGGGATATATATTTGAGAAATAATATATTAGATTTTTGTACCATATAAATGTATATTGGTACTATAATCATATAATGATTTATCAACCTTCATACTTTTAAAATATCATGAGACACTGTGTAAACTTCTTATGACAAATAATGAATGATTCAGTAATACTTTAAATCTTGGTCCACTTTGATGGGTTGCACAAGATCTAATGACATAAATGGAATTTCGAGAATAGCCGAGTGTGTGTTCAAAAGTAGGGGGAGGTGACCCATACATCAGGTACGGTCCCAAACTTAACTGAAAAGGATCCCTTGGGAGGTTGTTTGGCGAGCGGAAGTAGAAATCAATAATGTAATTGAAGCTTATTAAGGTTCTTATTTTAACTGAAAAAGACAATTTGTGAGTTTGCAGAAGTCATAAAAGACATTAATAAATAAAGAGAGGTTATACCTTATACTCCTTGTGAATATTCGGCTGTTCTCCGATTCCATTCATGAACCAACACTTGTAAAGATTAATGAAATTACCTGGCAATTCAGGGTTTAAAAAAAAAATCTGATTTTCCCAGGTCTCATTGACACCCCGAACTTCGTATGGTTTTGATATTTGCAATTACATTTTTAAACTAAGTCTACATTATTTGTTTTTTCTAGTATATTTACAATCAAGAAGCCTTCCAGAAACCATTCTTCAGCACCTACATTAAAACTTCTATGCTTACAATTTATCTTCTTGGTTTATTTTGTTATCCACCTTGGCGTGATTATTTTGGAAAGCAGCCTGCTTATACAGTATGTAGTTTACTGAGTGTGTATATATAACTATTGCTTAGCTATATATAATAAAGTGAAAATCATTTATATGATTTTAGCAATTGGAAACTGAATTGGAAGAAGATATAATTCAACCTGATGATGACACAAGTTTGGTTAGATAATATTTATATTTTATATTAATTTATTTGATCCGTTTTTCTATAGAAAAAAATATTTTTCTTACTTTTATTTCATTGTTAGTTTCTTTGCTTGTTTAGAGTCCTCCAACTTATGTCCCCATTAAATGGCCTGAAAAAGTAGAAAAAGGTTCAGGGACAGAAAGTGATGATTCTTCTCTCCAAAAGGTTGTCAAATTTTGTAAACTGGCTGAGGTAACTTTTAAGCTATTGCAGTATTACTGATACATGGATAATGTTAATTTAAACAAATGCAATATTAATTAATAATTTATTGTATCCATAGGTTCGTCATATGTCAGAAACAAATGCTACTGATGCATTCTGGGCTAGACTATCATATCAAGCTAGTTTAAGAGCCGGACATCTCACAAAATCAAACTCAAGTAAACTGTCTATTGACCAGATTGCTAAAATAGCATTATATTTTTGTTTTTTAGTAAGTCAATACTATTATATTGTTATTATTTAATTATATATTCATTTGATCAAAAACAATATATACAAATTATTGAAATATGGTAATTTAATTAGTCTTAATGAACTTTAAAGTTTAATCAGTTTTTGGTGATAAAATGTTAGAACAGTATAAATCATTTCCTAATCAGTTTGCTTTAAAATTAAAAGAAGGGTTTGATTCTTTATTCGCTGCTTATATTATGAGGTACTGTTTTTATGTGAAATTTAACACCAAATAAATTTAATTTTTAATAATTCTTTTTTATTTAATAATCAGTAAAATAAACATCAGTTGCCTTACTCGTAGTGAGGTCTAACTTGGAAACATTTGGAAGTTTTTAATATAAGTTATGCTATGAGTATTTTCTTACAATATCGAAATTTATTGAATAATTTTTTTAATTAAATTAAAATTTAAAATTTGCAAGAAAAAGATGGCTTTCTGACGTCATCTAAAGAAAATATATTGAGCAACTGGAGTTGGAAAGATATTTCCTGGAGCTCTTTAATCAAGGAGACCCCATGAACAATGAAGACACATACTGCGGATCTCAAACCAGATATACTGGATGTAGAAATAGCTATTGAAAGGCATATAACAAGAAAGCCCACAGAAATGGACAACCTTCCATCAGAACTGTTTTAAGTAGGGGAAGAAGACTTAAGAGGCTATTAACAGTTTATAATCTGTAATAACATTCTTGGAATACAGGCCTAATCTGCCCTATCCTAAAGAAAGACTCCATGATAATAAGCCGAAAATTCCACTCCTATAACAAGATCTGCATTGAAGGGAAATCGTTCTTGAAAGTAGGAAAATTCAAATACTTCTGCTCCACAATAATCTCAATGAATAACCAATAGTCAGAAATAGAGCAGCGTATAACAAGTGCAAACAGAGCTTTCTTCTCCATTTCCAAGGTATGGCGATCCCGAAAAATCTCAAATTAAAGGTGTACAATAATATGATAAAGCCAGTTCTAATATATGGCTATAAGGCCTGGACACTAACCAGCAACTTATGAAAAGTATTGAAAGAAAAATCTGCTGCCCGATAAATGGAGCAATCAGTGATCAGAGTACTAACACATGGAGAAGAAATACCAATAGAGAGCTGCTTACAGAAATTGTTCAGTCAGTATCTTATGATATGAAGGCACAGTGGTTAAGGTGGGCATGACATATGTAGCTCAGGGCAATCCATCTGGAAGCCTTTATACAATAATGAATGCCTCAGTAGAAGGCATAAGACCACATGGAAGGCCAAAATGCAGATGGACAGATTAAATCAACGCAGATGCAATAGAGCTGCATGCAAATAACTGGAAAGAAATTGCACAAGATAGGCTTGTTAAGGCAGCAAAAGATCTACAAATTCTGTAATGACAAACAAAATTTTTTTTTTTCTTACCCGTTGTTAATTGAATTTTAATTTCTAAAATTTCATAAAATGTTCATCCTTACTACCAACCATACACTAATTACAAAATCTTGTATTTTTTTCTAATTCACTTACGAGTTATACATGTGTAGTTCAGATTTAGTAATTTTCCTCTACTTAAAATGCATATATTTTTTACTCTCTTTTGTATTATTTAACATGATAAGTTGTTTTTTTCTTTACATCGATTTTTTATTTTATTACATTACTTTTATCACTGATTAGGTTTTCATGCCTGTTCTGGTTTATTGTCATTTCTGCCATTATAAATAAACAATTTAAAAAAATAGGAACATAATGCGTTTTTTATAGTATGGCCGTATTAGCCCATAATTTTTAAAAAAGTTATTTGTAAAATTGAACTAATAATATAATTTGTATAATAGCTGAAAATATTCTATTATATTTGTTAACTGATTTATAATAATTTTATTCTGATAAGTTAGCATCAGAATATAATAAAATAAAAGTAAGAGCTGTCAGATTGATGAGTAGATTATTGTTATGAGTGGTATATCATTATCATTAGTTAATGATGAATTGTTTGAATTTAAAAATGATCCTTTCTGATCAGTTTATTAAAAAAAATTATCGCACTTTCTTTAACAAATTGTATTTACTTAAGGCTACAAAAAAAATATTCTTGTGTCTAGTATATTTATATGTTTAGTTAAAATAAATTTATCTAGTTCTTGTCATGTATATATGTACTGAATAATAATAATAATAATAAGGCTTAGCGAACCCGAAGGTTCGATGCCGACACCACCAATCGCTTGTTACACACCTCCCTCCACCGTTCGCCGTCCAAACCCAGTCCCTTCAGATCGGCTTTAATGCAATCTTCCCACCTTCACTTCGGTCTACCCCTCGGACGCTTACCATTCGGCACAGCAAATATTAACCTTTTAGGAATTCTCTCGTTACTAAGCCCAACAACTTTACAAGCCCATTTGATTCGCCGCGATGAAATTACCTCAATTATATTACCCGGATACAGCTCACGCAATTCAGCGTTGTGTAACCGTCTGAACTCTCCGGTTAACTCATCCTTCTTCGGTCCGAATATTCTACGCAATACTTTATTTTCAAAAACCTTAAGACGCTGCTCATCCCTTAATGTAAGCGGCCAAGTTTCGCATCCATAAAGAACTGTAGGCAAGATAATTGTTTTATAGATTCTAATTTTTAAGTTTTGGGACAAGAGGCGCGCGCGAACTAAGTAGTTTTGTCACAGAAAAATAACAAGCATTCCCCGCCTTCAGTCTAATCTTAATCTCTTCTTCAATTTCGTTTTTTCTAGTTATCGTAGAACCTAGATACCTAAATTTATCTACCTGTTCAAACATATTACCATCTATATCGATATCACCAGTATTATCGCCATTTTTGCAGCTAACCATATATTTTGTTTTATCCACGTTTATTTCGAGTCCTAGTTCTTTACCGGCTTTCATTAACGTTGTCGTATTTAGTTTTATAGTTTCAACGTCTTCGCTTAACAGTACCAGATCATCAGCATAGCCCAGCACCAGATCCAACCCTTTGTCGGTTTGCATTACCTCCCTAATGGCATGTTCTAATGCCAAATTGAACAGGACAGGCAAAAGAGAATCCCCCTGTTTTAAGCCCGAACGAACCTCAAATTTTTCGGACAAATTATTACCGATTCTAACTTTATTGAGTGTCTACGTCAAGCACATCCTGACTAGATTTACTAGTTTTTTTGGAATCCCCTGCTCGATTAGAATATTATACAGTTTCTGGCGGTCAATAGAATCGTAAGCCTTTTTAAAATCTATATACAGCTGGTGAACAATACCGTTATACTCCAATTTTTTCTCTAATATTTGCCGTAAAGAAAATATTTGATCAATAGTTGAACGATTCCGTCTAAATCCGCATTGGTAGTCTCCGATAATTTCCTCGGCGTATTCCGTGATTCGACTGGTTAAGATTAAAGTGAATATTTTATAACATACCGGAAGGAGTGAAATTCCTCGATAGTTATTACAATCCGTCCTCGGACCCTTTTTGTGAATCGGAATAAGAATAGATTCTTTCCATTCTTCAGGTAATTTCTCGTTCACCCAGATCTTTTTAACCAACCGATGTATTTTAGAAACTCCAGCTTCCCCGCATGCCTTAATTAGTTCAGTAGAAATATTATCGGTTCCCGCTGCTTTATATGATTTTAATTTTCCGATAGCTACTTCAACTTCCTCTTTACTTGGTCCTTCTATCAACGGTTCAGCACTCTGGTACTCAGAAGGAGGACACAGATCATAATTTCCCGTATTTAAAATATTGTCAAAGTGGTCCTTAAACTTATTCAATATGTACTGAATATCATTTATAATAACTCTGAAGGTCATTATGTCAATTTTTGTTTTAGAAGCCATGTTTGTTGTAATTGATACCTACTCGGAAAGAAGGAAAATTTCAAAAATGTACTAATAGCAAATTGTCATAAAAAGAATTAAATTTGTTAAAAAAATGAAATTTACGTTGATAATTGGTAATTGGTTGACTGTCGTGGATAATGAAGAGAATAATAGTTGGGGTGTTCAGTCAAAAAGGAAGGCAAAAATAAATGATAATATTTATTTTTTACATATGCCGACGTTTCGACCTGAAGTTCAGGGCTGTCTCCTTAAGTTTGGCGGGGAGATATTCGTGTGTAAATTCGAAATTTACATTGTTTTAATATAATCCAGAATAAAGAGAAACAACTCAAAATTCCTCATAATATTGGATATTGTAATGTTTGGACCACTATAAATTAATACCAAAGAGTAATGAACCCTTAAATATCAGACCAAACCTACTAATACAGTAGCTGATCAACCAGGAACATCCGTTAAAGGAAACACCTTGGATGCTTCTATGTAATTCTTAGCTAGTGTCTTAACATTCGCTCTAACAAAAAACATGTTTTGCATTGTGTCCCTTACATACATACTTGATGTGCAATAGGTAAAATAATTTTTACATTTCTTTTTCTTACAAAGTTTCTTGATTATACTATATAGATAGGACATTTAATTACATCAAAGTTATTCAGTAAAAATAATCAGTTATCCAGGTCAGTTTCTAGCAATATTGGTAAGATACTTTAATTTCTGTAGGATCAATATCTTATTTGATGGTGTCTCTCTGAATTTCATTGTTTACTTTTAAAAATGAATCATTAGCATTAGATTTAGAAGAAAAGAGTTTGCTATTTTCATTTATGAAACTAAATTTCAAATTTTGCCCACCTTTAGCATAGCATTAAAAATGGAAATTTTGGTTGACTTGTTATTATCCACATCTTGCAATATTTGGTGGATTATTTAAATTTTGGTTTTGATTAATATCCTAATCCATTGGCTACAATTTGGATGTAAAGCAGAAAAAAAGAAAAAGGTTTCAATTTTATGCGAGACAAAACAGTTGACAATTAGACAGTTATCCATCTTACAACTCATCTCAGTTTTAAGAAATTAATTTGAAATATCCTGCAATTCATTGATAATTTCATAATTAAATTGAATTAAAATAGTTGTGAGATTGAACTTTTTACATGAAATGCTTTATAATATGTAAGCTTTCATTAAAAAAAAAAAGTAAATGTTTGAAAAAGCTACAATCTATTGTCAAGTTAGGAAACATAGCTACCATTTAATGTTTGTTAACTTAAGCTATAGTTTAAGATGTTTATTTCATATTATTTTATTGTTTATTATTAATATTATTTTGCTCTTATTATTTATTATGTTGTTTTTTTTTCAGTGGTTCCTAGCAAATTATACATTCCAAGCAGCTTTGGCTTATGCAGAAGCAAGCTTAGTATCATTGCTATCTTCTTCCTCCAGTATTTTTACGTTATTGTTAGCTTCTATATTTCCTGCGAATTCTTCTGATAAGTTTACTTTATCTAAACTAATTGCTGTCATTATCAGCATTGTTGGATTGGTAAATAATTCATATTTAATTTATTTTTTCTATTTTTATTTAATATTAAATATATTATTCGATTATTGTGTGTTCAGTTCAGTCTCTTGTGAAAAACTTATATATTATTATGGAAAGAGATGGTCCGGAGTGGCAGTCATAAATGGGCTAAATAGTGGCAAAACTATTTTATTAAAAGCCAACGTTTCGACCCTACTTTGCAGGTTTTCTTCAGGGCTAGAATGAACAAGATACAAAAAGATATAGAGAATTGTGGAAGTTACATAATATTAAGACAAAAAATTATAATTAATGTGAATAAGCTTATTAAAATTATAAACAGTAAGTACATTAAAATATAAACAAAGTAAGCTAAGTAACAAGATTCTAAACTGAAGTAAATAGATGGTAACAATTGTTATAGTGTAATATATGCATTATATAATATATAATATATGCAAATGTGAATATACTTCTACAGATCTACAGGAGAGATTGAAAGAAAAGAAAAAAGGATATAATATGAAATAATAGACATAAAGGAATGTGGAGAAAGAAAAACAAAAAAAGAAAACCAAAAAAATAAGTAAATAAAATTAGAAGAATAAAAGTATAGACTTGCAAGTGTGTTCAGCTAGGAGTTTCACTTAGAACTGGAAAATCAGGGTAAGGACAGGTATTGGGGAATTTGCTAACTTGTTTGGGCAATGGGAAAAACCTAGAAAATTACAGTATCTAAAATTTGAAGATATGGATGGATACAAGGGAAAATTACTATATCTATGAAATAATAAATTATAAATATATACATATACATATAAAATAGAATTAAGAGTACAATGTGAATAAAAACAAAAAAGGAAGAAGTAAAACGTACATAGAAGTAGAGAGGAAAAAAAATGAATAATTATAATTATATTCGGTTGTACATATGTAAGAAAATTACATTTAAATTTTAGATAATATTGAGACATGGTTAAAAAGTAAAATGAATACAAAGTGAAAATGGATGATCATACATTGATGTAGAATGTAAATATAAAATTAAAATTAAAAAAAAGAGAGATCATACAAAGCGGAAATACTTAGAATAATGAACAATTAAATTGAATTAATCAATAAAAATTGAAACTAGATAAAAATAATACTGTGTAATATATAAGTTATTTTTCACTTATAAGATTTAAAATGTGTCTATATGTTAAAGAAATGCACTTGCAAATGAAATTTTGCATTTCTTTAACATATAGACACATTTTAAATCTTATAAGTGAAAAATAACTTATATATTACATCGTATTATTTTTATCTCCACTATTTAGGCTATTTATGACCACCACCCCGGACCATCTCCTTCCTTTATAATGCAATGGTCACTATTAAATATTCAACATATATATTATTATGTTTACAATTTTAAAATTTAACATGTGTATGAGGATTATTATGAAAATAAGTTATTTTAGCTTTATATATATATATATATATATATATATATATATATATATATATATATATATATATGTTAACTCAATTTTTTACCAGTTTTCTATTTCTACTTTTACACTATAACCTTCCTTAAATCCTTTTTGCAATTGCATAATTTTCCATAGCCGCTTACGATTGTGCTCAGTCTGATTCTGTGACCAGAAGGACTATTATGTTACTTTTTTATATTATCATATCATAAAACTTTTTATCAGAAGTACTGTAGAACTTATAAAGTTAGCTTACATTGTTACTGGCTTCATTAGGACTGATAAGTGGGGTTATGCTGTAGTTAATAAATGTAGATTCTTCTGTAATGTTGTGAATTGAAGAAAGTTTATTAAAACCATAAACAGTGTAATCGAAATAGCTAGGTATCTTATAAAATCTTCATTTTTAATATTTATTCTAATATCTGCAGCTTCTTTATGAGATTCTTTTATAACCTTTCTTCGATTCACAAATTCACAAATGAATTACTTTTGCCTGGAGCTTTTCGAATGATTGTTAAAATTTTTATAAATTTACTCGCATAGCATTTAATAGTGATGGTATTTTCTGAAGTTAAAATCATTATCCCGATTAGGATTCTTTTTTTTACTCCTGTACTGCTTCAGAAAATTTAGGGTATTATTAGGTATTCAAGCATAAAGATGTTGATGTTGAATATGAATGTCTTTTGACAGTGGGCTTGTTATAATTGGTATCAATATGAAGAATGGGTACTACTTACATATTGTGGTTTCAGTTATGGTGAAGACAGTTATGGTGAACTAATATGGAAATTTAATGATTAATTGGAGAGAATGTGTGATAAAATATCATAATGGGTAGGAAAAAAATATGTGGGGATATAGAATTATGTTATATGACAATTAGATAGTACAAGTCAGCACAAATACTGTTATAATTAACACATTCAACAGATAAACTTAGCAATGTTAAAAAACTAATAATCAAAAGCATCTCTTTAAAACACAAGGATATTGATATACATAGCACAAACATGATACCTAATTGATCTTGTTTTGGAACAAATTGTGGTTCAATGAAGAATTCAAATTAGACAAATTTCCTAATATTGGAATTCCTCCTTCTTTTTTTTTTTTTTTTTTTTTTTTGATAAATTAATTCAACATTCCATATTGCACAATTCCTTATTGTTTTCTATTTAATTTCAGACAATGGGAAAACAACATATTATTGACTGACATAAAATTATAATTTTGCATCAACGAGGGCTTACAATCCGGTGAATTCAAAAAGAAGTAGGAGGTTCTATTTCTGAAATTCATGATCAAAAATTTTAATAACTAAACAAAATTAATTATTATAACATTCAAGCAGATCTAAAAACATAGTCTCGCTGCTGAACAACATTTAAAATTATTATATTTGCACACATTCACTCACTCACTACATGGCCTTAGGGCCCATTAAAAACCAATGCCTCCTCCATTATTCTGCTTGCCTCTACTTTATCGGTAGCCTTATCGTCTGATGTTTTGCTGTTGTATGTCCTCTTTCACATCATCTAGCCATCATTCGCGAGGCTTACCTCTCCTTCTAGAGCCTCCTGGGTGATCAGCATTTGTTTGGGTAGTCTAGACGTAGGAATTCTTTCCAGATGTCCAAGTCTGCCCAGTCTTCTTTTCTTAATAACTTACACAATGTCCACTTTGGCATTTAGCTCTTTCAACTCGAAGTTTATCCGTTTATCCTTACTCTATATCCATCGTCTTCCAGCACGGGCCCAAATTTCTTCCGCATTATCTTTCCCATATTCTAAGCATGTTCCAACTAGCTGATGTCATCACTCAGATTTCACTCCTGTATAATACTGTTGGCCTAATTATAGTACTTCTTGAGAGGTTTTTGTATGTTAGCGCCTTACACATGGCATAAAGACATTTATTTCCCACAGCTTATTTTCCTGATGTCCCCTTTTATCGTTATTTCACGTGACAATCCCTCCAAGGTACTTGAAGGACCTGCATGCTGAGATTTAGTGCCCATCTTTCTTGACCTTTTCTTTCTTAAAAACACAATCTCTAGTGGTCTTTAGGTATTTAGTTTTATCCTCATTAATAACCAGGCCAAGTTCCTGGTAAATAGCTGCTCTTTCGAACTCTTCTTGTGCTCCTGCTGACGCATCGATCTTGCCGAGATTACGACATCATCGGCATATGCCATATGGCGGATTAATCGATGATTCCTTCTGCCTTAGTTCTAATTTTTCTGATGCCATATTCCAAGGCTAGATTAAAAAGTACCATCAAAAGAGAATCTCCTTGACGTAGGCAACGTTACACTTTTGATATGTAGGACATGTGCCCCATGGACTTCGACTATACATTTCGTGTCTGCAACTTATTTTTATCTGACTGAAGTTTTTTGGGCATATGCATTTTGCTTAGTGCCAACAGCAGTTGTTTCTTTTTAATACTGAATTACGAAACTCAACCGTCGAAAAGTGAAAAAAACTTTATTGAGAAAACAAATCAAACAATGAACATTAAGACATGCTAAGTACTATTGCTACAGATCTCTTACTGACAAGCCTAGGATTTTATGGGGGTATATATAGGTAGAGGAGAGGGAGGCTGCTCAGAATGTCAAGTCAGCATAGTTCATTTCCATAACTATTCCCTCCTTAAAAAATTGAGGTCCTCCGAACTAGGATGTTTGTTTTTCGGTAAGGCAGGAATGCCACGCTCTAGACCTGGCGTCGCAAAAGGATAGCTGGATGGGATTGCTGATAGGTGGGTGATCAGGAGTTACAATTTTTGTTAAAGGTGTGGGGGTGTTACTCTTATTTTTAAAAATGTTTTTAAATTTATAATAGTAAAATAATATATGGTGAATAAACAGATATATACATATTATTAAAGTAAGATATAACATAATGTCAGAATGAGTAATTACAGAATAATCTTCTAAAGTTTCTATATTTAGAGTTCCTAAGTCTAATTTATTTACATCATCGTAGCTATAATTAGTAAAAATAACATTATCAATATTATGCATAAATATTATGGGTATATTTACATGTTCTTCGTATCTAATAACTATAGATTTATTTACAAATATTTCATTTCTGTCAAGGCTTATTAAACCAGTGATTGGTAAATGATATAACATGGTTTCTGTTATGTTAGTTTCAATAGTAGATAAATTAAAGGCGAGATATTGATTAAGGCTAGGTATGAGTTTAATAAATGGTTTTTGTGAAATTCCTATTATTTTACAATATTCTAATTTTTAGTTGTTACTTAATTCTAATATGCATTTATCTTCTACTAAACTAAGACTTTTGTAATTACAATAAAAGTTGGAATTATATTTGAAACATTGTCCCTTATAAAACTGGTTATTATGTCTTATAAATAATGGGATATGACAGTATGTAATATGTAGTCGAAAGGGCAACCCTTAGTGGTAATTTAATAAAGAAATAAATCATTCCCGAATCGGACATTGAACAAACTGCTTTACTTAATAACCAATTTAATTCTATGTCTCTTGTTAGTAAA